TCTGCAACTATGTAACTGCGTTATTTAAAATAGATAAAGTTACATATGAGTCAAAGTCCAGACCTGAAAACATGATTTTAGCTTTAATATGAGCTCGTTTCTGTTTCTTTGTCCCCATCTGATTAACACACACACACACACTCGTTTTCATATCTGAATGAGGACATCTCATTGACATAATGCCTTCTCAAGCTCCTTACCCTAACCATCAAAGATGAACGCCTAATCCAAACCTCTACCCTAAACTTAACTGTAACCCTGACACTTGTGGGGACCTGGACTAGCATTCCAATGTGTTGTCCTCACATAGATGTCTAAACATGTACACCACACACACACGCTGCTCCCAGGAGTGCAGCACATTCCTTCGGATGCACCACATGTGCCGTGTGTAATGGAGACCAGTTGCTAGGCAACTGTGGTTGCTAAGTGAGGAGCAGGATGCGAGTGACTTTTTCAACCTGCCTCCATTTACAGCAGCTTAAACATGACTACAGTAACACAGAGAGAGGGAGGGAGAGCTTTCCTCCAGAATAAAGGTCAAACAAAAGACGGAGGACGTGAAAAACACGGGGGAGGTCGTCGGGAGAAGACGCTGCCGCGAGGGCGGCAAACATCTGGGTGAATGACGGGCAAAAGATGAAGGTTTAGACTCATATTGAGCAATTAAAAAAATATTTAGCCGTGAGATTCAAACGATGTCTGCGACGCAGCTTTCACATTTCTCTGCAGCATCCATCAGATATCAGCTGATTTTATTTCAGACGTTTGTTACCATCAACAAATCAAACATTCACGTCGCCCTGCTTCATGAAATGTTCCTCAAACAGCACAAAACCGATCATCTGTTAGGTCCCGAGTGAGTAATGTGAGTCAACACTCTCGCCACATCACCGCGTGTGTGTTCACGGCGATGAAGGGAGACCGAGCCCCCCGATGTTCTTTTAAAATCCATTTAAATATCTGACCAAAGCTTTATTGTTGGGTTTGTGAAGAGCAGGCGAACGCGAGAATAATGCCTCAGACTTTAAATCTGGACGATTCATCTCAGATTTTTAGCTGAAACCTGGAGGTAGCGCCAAAACCTGCAGTTCCACTAATGTCCAGCAGAGGCTCCACAGTGAGTCACACATTTAAAAACGTGTTTCCAGCCTGCTGTCGGAGCCTGTGGGAACATGTTGATTCAAGCTTTTTATACTAACAGACATATTTGACCCCAGCAGGTCAGATTACTGCGGCACAGCTGATGACCTCTCCTGCTCAAACCCAACCTGAAATAAGCAGCACGGACTCGTTTCGCACTCCTCTGTCTGCGGGACGGTACCTTGGAGCTGGCCGTCTTTTTCCGTTTGGACCCGGTCTTGTCTCCTTTCAGTTTCTCCTTGTCGTCTTCCTCCTCGACGGAGTCGCCCTCTTCGCCCTCGCTGCTGCCATCGGCGGCGTTCCCGCCCTCCTCCATCTCGGACGAGCTCTGCTGCTGGATGGCCTGCGAGCAGACAACGCGGCGTTTGATTAGAAAAGCTGAAAGGAGGATGTTTATTGTGAAAGGCTTTTCTTTAAGCTTCCTTCTCTCTGATGTGACGATGCGCCCACTGACCTGATAGCCGGTGAACTTCACTCCGGGGTTGTTCTCAATCTCCCACAGGCCCTCGTTGAATCCTTTCCTCTTGTTGGATTTGCCAAATTTGTCTTTGTACTCCTTGTAGGGAAGAAGATCCTTTGGACCCAAGAATGCACTGAAAAAGACGCAGAAGAAGAAGCGGACAGGTTTACTTCTGTTATCATAATTAAAAACACCCAGAGC